AAAGCACAGATTATTCTGAGAAAATTACAGGAAGAATCCTAATGATTCCATGGGAATCAATCTAAAGCCACTCTGCGCGGCCGGAGAATTACATCAGCCTCCAAACAGTTAGAAATTATGCTCTAATTTGAGTTCACAGCATGCCCCATCCTGATGGGGCAAGGCTGCACAACAACAGATTAAAACACAAACATTAAAAAACAAATCCATTGCAATCTAATTAAAATAGCTAAAGAACAAAATAGCAGCTAAAATTTCCAACCATCTCTGCAATATTAGCTCCCTGCAAACAAGTCCCAAAAGGTCTGCTTGCAACTGTGTTAAAAATTATCAGGCAATTTTGTATTAATTATGTGGCTTTAAAAAAAATAAATTTGTAAATGTACCAATATTTGTTAAGGCAAATAAGACACACAGCTAAAACAGAACAGAAATTAATATTGCAATCTTATATATTCAGAAGTCCTAGTGAGTTCCTTAATTACATAGGTATATGATTGAAATCTTCTTTTTTAGAGTCTGCATATTTATTTATGAATGAATGAATAAGAGGATAAAAGGCTCAGACCCTATTAAGACTTCACAACAAAAGACTGTGAATAAAACTTTCTAGAACAATGCCAGAGAAGAGTCAAAAGGCTAGAGCTCGATTCTCATACGCTCTCTATTTCATATAATGCTAAAGTAATAAATAGCCTATTAAGTAGAAAAAGGGCTAAGGACAAAACTCCAACTTTTTTTTTAAGGTTGAGGACCCAATTCCATATTTTAAGGGATGCTGAAAGTTGCAAAAAAAGGGTGGGGGGCCCTAAGGAGTGAATGTATTTAATAAATAAATAAAATGAAATATTCTGTGTTGGCACAATCAGCAATATGCTTCCAAGAAGTCCATAAACTAGCCATGAAAGCTTAGGATAGCAAATGTTTATACCAGTGCGTCTCAACCTTAGCAACTTTAAGATATGTGGACTTCAACTCCCAGAATTCCTCAGCCAGCATGTTGGCTGGGAAATTCTGGGAGTTGAAGTCCACATATCTTAAAGTTGCCAAGGTTGAGAAACCCGGGTTTATACAAATAGCCTCCATTGTCCCATATTTACTTCTTGATACTGAACGTTCATTAATGGTCTAGAACAATCCTATTTTTGTTTAAAAATCCAATATGGATGCAGCTTGAGCATCAGCTAAAAAAGCAGGATTTTCCACCTGCTCACGTTCCACTCTTTTCTCTGTTACTGTTACCCAGAAAGACAAGCTGTCTTTCAGATACTGCTATACCTCTGTTTTTTTTGTGATCACACATCAGAGGAGAAGGCAGTTCTTGGTTCCTGCAGAGTCAATACGAATGAGAAGAAAAAGCTGCTTTCCATTTTGTCGGCCCTACATTTCCCTGCATGATGAAAGCAAAGATTTTGTTTCAAAGCAGAATGTCAATGCCACCCTTAGGATATCCTGCTGCTGCAACAGTCTTATGACATCGAAGTTCACAGAAAGGCAAGAGGATTTTCTCATGTGCCACACGCTTGATGGTGTACACTTGCTACTCTGCACCACCATGGGGTGCCCCAGGGCTCTCAGATTTTATATTACAATTGTTCCTCTAAACTGACTGCCTGCCTGGGACATTTCTAACCCTCTGTATACACTGGGCTACCTGCACAGCCTGCTGTACCTCCCTCATCCACATAAAGGAAGTAGCAAGATTATACAACTATGAGGAGAGAAAAGGAGAATAAAAAACAGAGATGTTCCTTTCCCAAACTTGAACATGTTTAGTCTATTTGCATTTGCACTTTGGAGAAAGTTTACTGAGGCAAAAAAAGGGGGTGGGAAGCAATTGTTCTGCCCTTTTCAGTAGCAGATAGTTCCATCCCAAGGGACTAACACCATCTGGTTAAAGATTAGCTATTTTGATGATATGAAGACACTCCAGGAACTCAAGCTGGGGCCTTTCCAGCAGCTGCCCAAGGCCAACCACCTGAGGACTGATGCTTGAAAGAAGATCTGCCTCTCTCCCCAGCACTGCTATGAGTCCATGCCATTGCTGCCCCTCTCTGGGCACTCCTTCTCTGGCCTGCCTTCTGCAGAAGAGCAACACTATTGTTCACCTACTGGCTGGCAACCTGCAGTAAACATTGTTCTGGGGTGGTGCACAAAGCAACACATTGTAAAATGGCTGCAGTGGCTACTCCCTATATATCCTTCAGGAGATAGCCTTAGAGTGGCTAACTAGAGGACAGCAACCTACTCAGGAGTAGAATGAAGCAGCAATTTCAGGTGACAGGTCATGAGAAGGGCAGCTGAGGGTTTGGTTCCACTTCACAATCTCTCTTGCTCCATAGCTTGCAATGGTAGCCTTCTTTGGCACCATGGTAGGTGTTTCCCATTGTGTTAATGCTCAACTGCTAAACCGGTAATGTTTTGCAACATGTAAGATCTAATGACCTGTTCTCTGCTTCCCAAACAGAAGCAAGATCTTTACAACACAAGATGCACTAGCCATAATAACTGAGATTAAATATAAATATTTCTTTTTGTATAGTACTCATATAAAAACTGATAGTTGTTCATATACAGATGTAAACATATACTGCTTTTGATGTTGCCATAAAGTAACATTTAAGAGTTTCTGGCTGCACTCTTATTCTCACTTACCTAAAAAGAAGTCCCATTGAACTTTGGGGGCAAATAAGAACAGGATTGCACCACACATCCCACCGCACTTGCAAGAACTAGTTTCAGAATGTGTGAGACTTTCTCAAACAATTATATGTTCAGATTACACATAAATTACTCCTTGAATGGGCTGCCTTGGAAGGAAAAACACATGAGAGCAGCCCTAGCATTTAAAGCACTGGAGGTTTGCAAATAACTTGCTTCTTGTGTTATAAATGCAGAGAGCCAGATTTTCAGGTCCTGATGTGCACTGGCATTGCCAGATTACCCTGAAAACTGGTCCTACAACCTCCTAGTCAGGTAAGTGGGCGGGCAGGCACGTGTGTGTGTGTGTGTGTTTATGTACATGTGTGTTCACATGCAAGCCTGTATGCTGGCTGAAGTGCATCATTAGCACATTTCTAGTGATATCAATATCATCTTACAGGGCTCTCCTCTGTAGTGAAGAAAGTTTCACTGGGCATAGCTCCCCCACCAAAGGACCACATTTCTTTCTTTCTTTCTTTCTTTCTTTCTTTCTTTCTTTCTTTCTTTCTTTCTTTCTTTCTTTCTTTCTTTCTTT